AACTTTTCTTAGCATATATTATCGTTTAAATCCGAGGCAGATATATGGTGGAGCTTGTTAAAACAAATATGCTTAGATGCCAAAACAGGCCTTTTGACGACCTTATGTAACCGCAATGCTAATCAACGACGAGGCAAACTTGAGTATTGATACGACTTCGGAAAGTAATGGATTTCCTAAATAATTGATACGAAATGAAATGTATGACATAAAGAGGCTAAATTATCTCCTATTTGATCATCGAAGAAGAAGATCATTTACCAAGTGACTGCAGTTTATGTGTTTTGCATGCTAACAGAGCCAGAAACACATTTCACAGCATATAACAGACAGATATACGAATTGTAGGACGTAAAGTTTTCTGTAAGATGATCTAAAAGACGAAAATACTGTACATAAACGAAGAATTTGAGGTAACGATCAGTAGAACGAAGAACTTTGCATCTGGACTACTTTCATGGAAAGAAACCGAAGCTCAAAAACCTAGTGAAATCAGAAACGACTATCAAGGAAGAGAAAATAATCCACACCATTGACTATGTTTTTAGTCAATTTCAGCTAAAGAATGGTCTCAAGCTCTGAGGTGGTCCATCACATGAAAGGCGTATCGGGATCGCAAAATGGTGATTAGATGACTCCTTCGTAAAGATCAAGTCATTATGGCAATCTAATTCTCCTTCAGTTTCAGGTGAGGCCATTTTATCAAGCCACTCTATGCAAATTTTTGAGTTAAATGATCAGAAAAGACTTAAAATTATAAAAGGATTTTTCGGCATCCTGCTTTTCTTCATAGATAAAAGATTATTTTGTTTTGCATCTATAAAAATTATTACCATGCTTAAAGATAAAGCCTGACTGAATACTTTAAGTTATGAATTCGAGAGCGATAAAGCTTAGGGTAGCACAATTGGAGCTCCACTGAGAAAAAACTTTACCCTCAAAAGTGTGTCACCAGGAGAAAGCCACTATATCCCGATTCTTAGTAACTCAATCACAATCGCAGAACATACCTAGGCATTTCTCATAAGAGCCGATGATTTCAGATGAAAAATATGCAAATAAAAGTCGTCAAAAAGACTGAGGTGTCTTTCGATCAACCCACCTGCTTGGCGTCAAAGTAACCATCATTATCGTCGTCTGGATCAATAAGGTCGGGAATCCCGTCGCAATCATGGTCCTGCTCGTGATCAGGTATTCCGTCGTTGTCCATATCGTCATCAACTGTGTCTGGAACACCGTCACCATCCGAGTCCTGGAGGAGGTCACCGCCGCCTTCGCCAGCAGCGTCCAAATCGTGGCTGTCAGGAATGCCGTCGTTATCGTCGTCGTGATCCAGACTGTCTGGAATGCCATCCTGCCAATTAGTAGAAGGGTCGGGCAGGCAAGTACATTCGAATTGAGAAAGGGTTAAAAGTCAACTGAATATTGTCATTAAGTCAGCAACTAAAGTAATATGCTTCCAATTGGAAATGTGATAGAGGTTGTTTGACCTTGTTTTCGCAACATGGTCATATTGGTAGGAAGACTTAGAAGAACGCATTTAGTCCGGAGTCCATTGTCTACATGATCATTTTCAAACTTAAACCGTGGACGTGGTACATTCCCAAACGTTTCGCCGGCATCTTCAGTGAGTATCTCCATCCTTAGCACCATGCAACAACTCGTCAAAGACACAAGTGAAGCCGATCCTTCGGCTAAACGTATGCAAAACAATTATGCTATCTCCCCTTCTGCCCTGGGTTATTCGAAACGTTTGGGAATGTACCACGTCCACGGTTCAACTTTGTAAATGATCATGCAGACAATGGACTCCGG